GCCTTCCTTGACCTTGCCGGTGCGGCGTCTCCCGCTTGGGGCAGACGCAGCGCCAACCGACTCAAAACCAACGAGGTTGGCCGCAGCAGCAGAGGCAACAGAGGGCAAGAGGGGGGAGGGAGAACACCCCTCAAAGACGGGGGTGCGAGGGTCACCACGAGAGGCTCCTACAGCGACTATGCTCTTCTCTATCGCTAGGAGGGCCTTCTCGAGGAGGTCAACGGTGAGAGTGGTGGGGCAAACTGAGAGGAAGTGGTCCCTGACTACGTGGAGAGAGTCAGGGAGCCGGGTGACTATGTAGTAGAGGGTGATGTACATGGGGGGGGGTTCTTGGCGCAGAGATCAGCAGGAAGCGCAGCGCGGTAGCGAGTGTCACTAGTGCGGAGGTGCGTAATGAGGTCAGCGACTGTGGGAAAGGCAGCAAGGTCAGGGAAGAGGTACGGTAGCATGAGGCGGCTCAGTGCAGCAGTGGCAGGGGAAGAGTAGCGTGCAACTACAGCGTCGTACAAGGTCTGAGCACTCTTGTACTGGCTAAAGTGTGCACGCTCAGTGGTCGGTAAGTGGCGGCGCACAGCAAGGCGAGCAGCAGCATCGCGCGTGGCCCAGTGTGAGCGAATAGTGGCGTCCGCATCAGCAGCAGGGGCAGGGGAGGCACTAGAAGTGAGGTCAAACAGGGAGAGGCCGTCTGCCCTATCGCACTGCAGAAAAAGCTGCAGATCATCTACCCAGACCTCAAAGTCCACTGCCCTACCCTCAGTGTCAAAGATGAGAATGCTAGGGGAGGCCATAACAGTGGTAGGCAGGCATTGAGGACAGTGGGGGAGGGCAGTGCAGTGGCAGAGACTATGCTCTTACCAGGCAAGTGGGGCGGTCGGGCGGCTCGGTGGCTCGGAGGTCGGGCGGCTCGGTTTCTCGGTGCTGGGCGGCTCGGCGGTCGGGCGGCTCGGCTGCTGGGCAGCTCGGCGGTCGGGCGGCTCAGCTGGCCGGCGGTTCGGCTGCTCGGCGGTGCGGGCACTGGGCGGCGAGGACGCAGGTGGCGGCGGGGCCGCAGGTGGCGACGCGGCCGCAGGTGGCGGCGGGGCCGCAGGTGGCGACGGGGCCGTAGGTGGCGGCGGGGCCGCAGGTGTCGGCGGTGCCGCAGGTGGCGACGGAGCCGCAGGTGGCGACGGGGCCGCAGGTGGCGACGGGGCCGCAGGTGGCGACGGGGCCGCAGGTGGCGACGGGGCCGCAGGTGGCGACAGGGCCGTAAAGGGGGGAGCCAGACGGGGCCGTAGCGGGGCCAGAGGGGGCCGTAGCAGGGCCAGACGGGGCCGTAGCGGGGCTAGACGGGGCCGTAGCGGGGCCAGAAGGGGCCGTAGCGGGGCCAGACGAGGCCGCGGAGGGGCCTATACGAGGCCGTAGCGGGGCCAGAAGGGGCCAAATGGGGCCGCGGAGGGGCCTAGGCGAGGCCGTAAGGGGTCGTAAGGGGCAGGCGGGGCCGCGGAAGGGCCTAGGCGAGGCAGCGACGGGGCCTTAAGGGGCCTAAGTGGGGCCGTAAGGGGCCAGACGGGGCCACGGAGGGGCCTAGGCGAGGCCGCGACGGGGCCGTAAGGGGCCTAAGTGGGGCCGCGACGGGGCCGTAAGGGGCCTAAGCGGGGCCGCGACGAGGCTGTAAGGGGCCTAAGCGGGGCCACGACGGGGCCGTAAGGGGCCTAAGCGGGGCCGCGACGGGGCCGTAAGGGGCCTAAGCGGGGCCGCGAAGGGGTCGTAAGGGGCCAGACGGGGTCGTAAGGGGCCGTAGAAGGCGGCGCGAGGGGCCGTAAGGGCGGCCAACGGGGGCCACTAAGGGCGGCTCGAGGCGCTAATCGGGTAGGAGCGAAGCGCGCTACGGGCAGGGAAGAAAAATTCGTGGTGGGCCCTAGACAGTATTCCCACTCGGGAACCTGCTCGATACCATGACGAGAAGTGAGAATGGATGAATGAACTATGAAACAGTTGGGTACAAGTACTAACCCTAATTGGGTTGTACCCCTTATGGGCTACCCCACTACAGCCTACACAAATGTATAAGCTATTACGTTATGACACTTTAGCAGGCGGATGTGCTGCAGATTCGGTTCCCTTCACATTCGGACCCTGCACTGGATGCGGGTACAGTCAGCAGGAGCTGTCAGGAGCTGGATGTGAGTCAGATTGGGTTTCACAGACGACCCCACGTAACTTCGACTCGATTGAAAAGGCAAGCACGAGATCTACAGTCTGGTGTTAAAAAATAGAAAAAATATATATGTCATTTTATAAACGCCGGCGCTTATAAATTTACTCGATTATAAGCCCACCCCCTAAAAAAACCTGCTTTATTATTGCCCCCCATGGGGGTATATCCGGGGTATGACGAAACCTTTATAATAAGAATTTCGAGAATCTGTGCGGAGCGAAAGCGTATTCAAGAGGCGATGAGAAATTGGGTTTGCCACGCTACTGTGCAATTAGGGTACGTTCCGCTGTGGACACATGTCCCAATCGATGTGTCCCAATCGAGTGTACCGCTCCGAACCGAACTAAACCAGAGACGCAAAAATTTCGAAACTAGGGTGCAATTTGGTGTAATACGATGCAGTGCGGTAGAAACGATTGGGACACATCGATTGGGACATGTGTCCACAGCGGAATGTACCCTTACTGTTTCCGAGAATCAGGGTGGGGCAAACGATCCAGTGTGCGAGAGCACTGCTGTGGTGTCGCCCCACCAATTCCAGTGCTAACACTCGTGAGGCTGAACTGGGGTGCACTGTGCACACCAAACTCTTGTGCGACTCCACTGAGGCAGTACATTCAAATCCTAAATGAACAAATTATCTTATGCTTGGTCGTTTGTGAGACTTCACTTCAAGACAACAAAACCGAAGTGCTGTAACGTTAGGAAACATATTTTATGCCAATTGTCAGTGGAAAAAAAATACAAATCAATAAATACAATAGATATACCCATGTCCTATACCTTGCTATCGTCCATCTGTAAGGCTTCTTCTAACTCGTCCACGTAAGGCTTTTATGGGGAAAGCGAGGGTGAAGAAAGCAGAGGCACGAGCAGGAAGGGAATGAGAAAAAGGGCATCGCATTGGATGTAGCTGTTGGTGCAGGGCATATGGCGGGGGGAAGCAGGGCATATGGCGGGGGGAAGCAGGGCATATGGCGGGGAGAAGCAGCGCATATGGCGGGGGGAAGCAGGGCATATGGCGATGGGATGGTGGCATTAGTGACAGGAGTGGAGGGGGAACCACGAACAACCCAAACGACCGGGAGAGGAGGTGAGGTCGACGGGGAAAGGAGGTTAGGGCGACGGGGAGAGGAAGTGAAGGCGAAGAGGAGGGGAGAGGAAGTGAGGGCGATTGGGAGGGGTAGTGAGGGAAGCAAACCCTCCCCACCTCTATCCACCCCCACCTCTTTTCTCCTTCTCTGGCTCTCCCCCTCAATCCCTTCCACTCGGTCCCTCCCCCTCTGTCCCCTCCCCTCTGTCTCTCCCCCTCGGACCCCCCCCTTTCTGTCCCTCCCCTCTGCCTCTGTCCCTCTGTCCTTCTCCCTCTGTCCCTCCCCCGCTATCGCTTCCGTTTTCGGGAAGGGGGGCGGGTGTGTGGGGGGAAGGAGGGCGGGTATGTGGGGGGAAGGAGGGCGGGTATGTGGGGGGAAGGAGGGCGGGTATGTGGGGGAAAAGAGGGGGGGCATGTGGGAGGAAGGAGGGCGGTATGTGGTGGGGAAAGAATAGGAGGGGTTGTAAACAAGAGAGAGGGTGAAAGTATGAGAAAGGCAGGCCAGGCAACGAGGGGGATGGGAGGGGAGGTGATCGCAACTGACCTAAAAGCGTGAGGCACTATTCCCCCCTATGTCCCTCCCCAACTGTCCCTACCCCACTGACACTCCCCCATCTGAACCCCCTCTTCTGTCCCTCCCAATAAATGAGGCCCGAAGAGGGAGAGAGGGAGAGAGCGAGAATAGGATTGAGCAAGAGAGGGAGGAAGATATAGAGCGGGAGAGGGCGGGACAGTCAGAGGATGGGAGATGGAGATATGGAGAGAGCGTGGAAGAGAGTGAGGAAAAGAGAAATGACGAGGGGAAGAGACGAGAAGGGAAGAGCGCATGACGAGGGGAGAAACATGTGACGAGGAGAAGCGCGCGTGACGAGGGCCATCCCCCTCTGTCCCTCCCACTGAGGGCGTTCTGTGGAGGAAGGCGGGTGTATGGTGGGGGAGATGGAGGCGGGTATGTGGGGAGGCGAGGGCGACGGGGAGAAGCGAGGGTGTTATGGCGACGAGAGAAACGAGGACGTTGAGGAGAAGAGAGAGAGATGAGAAGAAGCTTGGGTGACTAGCGGAGAGAACGAGGGAAAGCGCCGTTGACGAGGGGAAGCGTGGGTGACGGGGAAGCGAGAGCGACGACGGGAAGCGCGGGTGACGGGGAAGCGAGAGCGACGACGGGAAGCACGGGTGACAGGGAAGTGAGAGTGACAACGGGAAGTGCGGGTGACGGGGAAGCGAGAGCGACGACGGGAAGCGCGGGCGACAACAAGAGGCGAGGGCGGCGAGGGTCGGCGAAGGTGATGAGGGAAAGCGCGGGCGACAAGGAAAGTGGTATGACGTGGGAAAGAGCGGCCGACGAGGGGGAACATACGCAAGTAACGGCAGCGTGCGTCACCTGAATTTTAAACGGTACGATCGTGACACGAGGCTGATTTGCAGCAAGTGCGATGCGAGATTGAATGCACGGCGCGAGTAGCGCGAAGATCATTCACTAACGTAAGTGCCGCGGGTGAACGGGTTGTTACTCGAGACTGCCGACATGAGGGGGAGATCGGAGCGTCCGGTGACAAAGATGGTTGAGGTGGATACCTACTTTATATTTCCCACAAAAAAAAACCCTTTCAACGACTCGCTTTTGCCTACTGGAGCTAGTTTTTGCCTGGAGCCTCCTAGTCTATGAGTACTACTTGGTGTCCAAGTTATGTGAGTAGTGGACAAGTGCATATGGTTGGCGATCATCGCGTCAATCTGTTTTTGGGCACTCGGGTTCCGTTGTCGCATGACGATTGCCTGGGGTCGCGAGAGTTTCTTCAAAACAAGTAGGGTAACCCTGTTTTTGGTGATTTCAAGTTCAAGAATCTTGAACTTGAAAATTACCATGCTGTACTCGGGCTTTAAAAAAAAAATGAGAAATGTTGGGTTCAAATTACCAGTCCGCGCATCATCTGAACAGGAATGCGCCGTTGGGAGTTTTGGATTGACTTTTCATGTCAAAAAAGAAAGAGAGAAAGAAAGAAAGAAAGAAAGAAAGAAAGAAAGAAAGAAAGAAAGAAAGAAAGAAAGAAAGAAAGAAAGAAAGAACGAAAAAGAAAAAGAAGAAGAAGAAAAAACCATCATCGTCTAACCATCATGCCAGACAGCTTCGTTACTACGGTATCCAAGTCCAAACACTCGCGCTGTAGTTAGTCCGGAGCATCAAACCATTGAAATGCACAACATATTTGAAATTTCGACCGAATAATACCGTACAAGCTACAATTTATTCCCCATTCTGCACCGAGGTTCCTGTTAGTGGTCAGAAGGCCATTCCCCAACAAAAAAGGAGCATCAGATTCCTGATAACCAGACGGTTGTTCCCCAAGGTACTCTGGCCTTATATGAGCTTGGTTGTTGAGAAGAGTCATCTTCCAGCGTTGATCAATGGAAGCAGGAATCCAACATTTTATAATTCCGTATATGTGCTCGGACGCATGCGCCATGCGGTGAACATGGAAGCACATTGCCTAAACTCTCTCCCACTTGCGTGTAATTCACACGGTCATGACGAGAAATGAGAATGGATGAATGAACTATGAAACAGTTGGGTACAAGTACTAACCCTAAGTGGGTTGTACCCCTTATGGGCTACCCCACTACAGCCTACACAAATGTATAAACTATAATGTTCGAACACACCCCCATAGGCAAAGTGGGGGAGAACAAGCGGTCACAAGACCAGTCAAGCAAAGCAAAGCAAGCTCAGGGTGGATCACAAAGTCACCACACAGTCCGAGCACAAGAGTAAGGCCACAAGGCCAGTTCACATGCAAGATCATATTTGTAAAGGTAAACAAGCAAGTGCAGGTATAGAAAGAGGACAGTAAAAACAAGATCAAGAAGTGACCAAGTGAGGCCATGTAGGCACAAGACCTAGCAAAGTACAGAAGCGCTGATGACCACAAGGCGGAAGGGCCTTGGTGAATATATCAGCAGTGTTGGCCTCAGAGGCCACGTAGGTGAGGCGGAGCTGACCACGCTGCTGCAGCTCACGAGCCAGGAAGTAGCGGAGAGCAATGTGCTTCGTTCTGTGCTCCAGTGTGTGCTCCCGACACAAGGCCAGCATGGCCTTGTTGTCTACGTACAGAACTGGAGGAGAACGAGGCAGCTCTCCTAGGTCAGTCAACAGGTAGGTGAGCCAGCGTAGCTCCTGTGCAGCCATGGCCCCTGCGTAGATCTCAGCCTCACAGCTGGAGCTGAGAACAGAGGACGAGCAGGTAGACCGCCACAAAATAGAGCCGGAGCCAAGGCTGAAGGTGTAACCCTGTGACGACCGCTGCATAGCCTGCTCGTCAGCCCAAGAAGCGTCAGCGTGACCTGTGAGGACTACTCGACGTCGCCCTCCAAGCACTAGCCCCATGCCCGACGTACTGCACACGTAGCGCAACACCCTCTTCGCTGCAGCCATGTGCTCTGGTTGGTGTCTCCCAGGAGCAACATAGCGTGCTAAGATGCTAAGAGGGTATGCAAGGTCAGGTCGTGTGCAGGTCATCAGGTACATGAGGCAGCCAACAAGCTCTGGGTACGGGCCACTCGACTCTACGGACTCATCCGAAGGCAAAGCTGAGAGCGAGTGGCGAGTAGACAGAGGAGTGACCTGAGGCGAGGAGTACGTGAAGCGAAAGCGCTGAAGGACCTGCTGCACCATGTGTGACTGAGTCAGGGTAATGGTGCGCTGTGCTCTATTCCGGGTGATCTGCAAGCCAAGGTAGCTGCACAGTTCACCCAGGTCTGTGCACGTGTGTCTATTCTGCAGCTCGGACTTCACATGAGCGAGTCCAGCAGTGTCAGCAATGGCAAAGACCAAGTCGTCGACGTACACGAGGATGTAGAACGGCGGCAGAGAGGTTTCGGTGCGCAAAAACAGCGACGGGTCGGCTGTAGAAGGAGCAAACCCAAGAGCCGCAAGTGTAGTCCTCAGTGTGTCGTGCCACTCATGGGGCGCCTGGCGGAGACCATAGACTGGCCGCCGGAGGCTCCACTAGGTACCAGGAGGAAACGACCCTGTCAAGCCAGGAGGGTGGCGCAGCCAGATCTCCTTGTGCAGGCTGCCCTGCAGGAAAGCTGTGCTGAAGTCAAGAGAGTGAAGCTCGTAGTCGCGCTGAGCGGCTATGTGCAGCAGCACCCGAAGAGTGGTCATCTTCGGGGTGGGAGAGAAGTCTGAAAGTAGTCAACTCCCTGCCGCTGACTGAAGCCTCGAGCCACGTAACGCGCCTTGAAGACAGGCGGAGAACCCGGTGGCCGCTTCACCCTGAAAATCCACATGCCACTGACGATGTTCGCCCCAGGTGGGGGAACCTCGTCGACGTAGGTGACTGTGGACTTCCAGGAAGCCATCTCTGCATCCATGGCCGACTGCCACTGAGAGGAGTAGGGACCCTCGATCGCCTCAGCGTACGATCGAGAAGTCGGGATGTCTGGTGCATCCGGGTCTCCCCCATGGGGCAATCAGCGTGGACACGAGATGGGGCAAAGCAGCCGCAAAGCACTGGAACTCCTCCTGCCTATCCTCAAAGACGTCCGTGCTAAGAGCACACTCACCCCCGACGGACGGAGGACAGACAGACTCAGACTCAGCAATGAGACTAACAGCGTAGTCTAGACGATAGCGAGCAGCGAAGTCGATAAGCTCAGCAACTAGAGCAGACGCAGCAGTGGACTCAAAGGAAGGGTCGGTGACAACAGTAGCAAGAAGGCGCGTGACCGAAGGACTGGCAGCACGAAATGAGTCAGACTCCGGGTCAGCAAGAGAAGGAAGAGAGGACTCTGGAGGAGACGGCAACGGGACACGCAGAGGAGCAGTGGAAGGACGCAGTGCCATCTGGTGTGTGCCGGGGACCGCAGGAGGACACGGAGACGCAGCACAACGACTAGTGCGAGCAGCCCGAACAGGTGACGCAGGACGAGACGCAGGCTCACGATGCTCAGCAAGACCTTCAGTAGGACTAGTGTAGGGAGAAGGAGCAGGTAGCGGGGAGGCAGGCTGTAACTGTGACGACGACTGAGCAGTCTGTGGACACTCTAAGGGAGGAGCACGACCAGGACAGGGCGGGAGACCAAGAACCTGCTCCAGGAGCGGAACGAAGTACGGCCTCAGCCGCTCAGCGCCTGCAGAACCAGCAAGGACGGCACCAGTACCCCTAGCGGCAGCACCAGCGCCAGCAGCACCTCCAGCTCCAACAGCGCCAACTCCAGCACCCTCTAAAGCACCAGCGCCAGCAGCACCGCCAGCGCCAACACCCCCAGCAGCTCCAGCCCCAGCAGCACCAGCTCCAGTAGGACCGTCAGCACCAGCAGCCTCAGCAGCACTCCCAGACGCACCTGCACCAGTAGAAACACCAGCGCCAACACCCCCAGTAGCTCCACCTCCAGTAGCACCAGCAGCACCCCCAGTCTCAGCAGCACGTCTCCAGCGGCGGGCAAACCACTCACGCAGCTCCAGTGGAGAGAGCGGCTCCCGCCTCGACGAAGCATTGCCGGCGGCCACACGAGCAGACCCAGCACCCCCAGACTCCGCACCCCCAGGCTCAGCACCTCCTGGCTCCGCACCCCCAGGCTCAGCACCCCCAGACCCAGCACCCCCAGGCTCAGCACCCCTAGTCTCAGCACCCCTAGACTCAGCACCCTCAGACCCGGCACCCGCAGGCACAGCACCTCTAGCAGCACCAGAGTCAACAGCTACCTCGACAGGCTCGACTGCGTCTACCTGGGACACACCTGACGGGGTAGGACCCTGAGGAGGGAGGGGGTTGTCAGAATCCCAAACACTAGACCACTGGGATAAAAGGGCTTGTTAAGTAGCGAGTCAGTGCGCCCATAACCCCCCAGGCAAACATGCCTGTAACCCTTCCATAGGATCAATCGGGGATCACCAGTGGACCTCTGACACGGGTCTACCTGGGGAGGACCTGGCGCAAGGAAGAGCGGCGGCGGGGGGAGGGGCGCAGTGCGGTAGGGGAAGAGACGGTAGTAAGGCACCGACTCGTCAAAGGTGACGTCCTGGGAGGATAGAACACGGCACGAGGTGGGGTGGTAAAACTGCCACCCAGGCGCGTCAGGGGGGGAAGCCAAGGAAGACGCAGGGAACTGCACGGGGGGACAGCTTGTCCGCAGACAAGTCGCGGACAAACGCCCAAGATCCCCAGACCCGAAACGCAGACGCATCGCCAACCTTCCCTGTCCACTGCAAGGCGGGGGAGGTCTCTGGCAAGGAGACCCGGGGCTGAAGGTTGAGCTGATGCGCGGCGTACTGAACCGCAAACGGCCACAGAAAATGGGGGGCAGCCGCATGCATCATGGACGTACGAGCGACGTCCATGACCATGCCAATGCGGCGCTCAACAATCCCATTTTGCTGTGGAGAGGCCGGAAGCGTGAAGGTCTGGCGGATGCCCTGTGCACGACAGAAGGCTCCCAAACGGGCAGAGGAAAACTCCCTGCCACTGTCCGAGTGCAGACGCAGAACAGGAAAGTCCAAGCCGAAACTCTCTCTGAGCTGGAGACGAGCTGCGCGGATCCAGTCGGTCAACACCTCAGTGACGTCACCCTTGCTGTGCAAGGGGAAGACTGTGGTGTAACGGGAGTAGTCGTCAACCACCAGCAGGAAGTACCGCTCTTGCCCCTGCCCACTGACGCGGGCTGGGCCCCACACGTCCACGTGGAGAGTCTGCAGCGGAGCCTCTGTCGGAGGAAACTCAGAGGAGTGAGGGGCGGCGCGCTGTTGCCCCTCAACGCAGGGGACGCAGATAGGGCCAGGCCCCGGAGGAAGGGGAGGGAGAGACCGTGGGAGACCAGAGACAAGGACACGGGAGGCCATGCCTCGGAGACGAGGCAAGGAGGAGTGACCAAGGCGGTCGTGCCAAAGGAGAGTCTGGTGGGACAGCAGACAACACGAGCAGGGGGCAGACTCAGGACCAGACCTGGATGCCGCAGCAAACACCGCACTCGACGCAGCTACCTGGGCAGACTCAGCAGCAAGAGGAGACTCAGTAGTAAGGGTGTACAGGCTCGACCCTATCCGACGGGTGAACGTGGCCAAGTGTCGACCTGTCCGAGCACACGTGCAGTGGGTCACCCGCTGACTCGCAG